TTTAATCGAGAATACTGTTTATACTTACCAATCAGTTTTACAAAGTGCGAATTATACGAAATTTAGAATTAAAATAAATTATGTTAATTACTAATCAATAATCAGTATTGCATTAGTTTTTATAACGTTTTTTTGTTATTAAAATTATTTTGATATTTTATAATGAATATATGTTAGTTTAGTATTAGAATAAATGATGAAATAATTTCAAATATTTATTATAGAGTAACCTTAAATTATAAATAACAATGTTTAATAAATTTATTATTTTCAGTCAAATGCTTGCACATAATAAATCAATCGGATTATTCTTAAATATGAATATAAACTATTATGATTTTAACAATAATTCATATCTATGCTATAACATTTATTCTAGAGGTACAATGTAAAGGAAATAAAAAAGGGAGAATTTTATATTTATGTTGATATTTTATATTTACTCCCATAGCAGACATATAAATAAGGTATTTATTTAGAATAAATAATAAAGTTTCTAAATACAGGCAACACTATTCTTATAAATCATTTTATAATTTTCTTTGAAGTAAAATTAATCGAATTCAACTTTAAATTACGTAATTTTCAAATAGATAATGTATAATAAATGAATATAATTTTTAATTGAACTTTTATCACGAACAATTAACTATTAATAAAATTTCAGCCTACAATTAACTTCAATAATAAATATTTATAAAATCGTCATATAAAATATCAAAATTCTTTTACTATTAATGTTGCGTTACCATTAATAATTTGAATTAGTATATGTAACTTCCAACTCCATGTAAAATTAGCTTGAAAGATTAGTTCTAGTATTACCCTTATAATAAATATATTCAAATAGAAATACTAAATTATATAATTTGTTTTCAGTTTTCTAGCAAGCATAATACGTTTTACTAAAACAATTTCTTTCGTATAAAATGGCATAAAATTAAATTATATTTTAGATGGAATTTGTTATTGATATAAGAGAATTTACTATAATGAAATTAATACTATTAAAATAAAAAGTATTGCATTTACATTTAATAAAATTGTTTTGGCTTGAAATAATTTAATTCACTCATTTTGCCAATTAAAGTTAAATAATGAAGCTAATTATTAGCATGAAAATTTAATAATGAATAATGAACAGGGGAAACAGTTAGTATAATTAAAATGAAATTGTATATTAAGATAATAAAACAAGATAGAAGCAATGATAATAAATAAAGGAATAAGAAAAATGCTCTATATTTTCACTTACCTATTATGTTTTGTATAAATTTTCAAATCCATTAACCAGAAAAATTATAATAATAAAAAAATTCAATAACTATTGAATTTTATAATATTAATAAGTAACAATATTAGTATTTTCAATTTAAATTATATGAAATATAAGCTTATACGCTGTTTGTGTTTGCTATTAAAAGAAAAAAAAATAGAATTATTGTATTGAAATATAAATATGTATTAGAAAAGTAATATGAAAAAAGGCTTATAAATTTTTCTTAAAATATCTAGAAACATTAAAAAACGAACTAATAATACCACAACTTCGATTTTTACTGGCATATTTAATATTTAAGTATAAAATGTAAAATATTCTACGAATTACAGGAGTCCACAAGTCAATAAAAACTTTACAAACATTTCATTTCTGATCTTAAAATGAAAGATTAACTTTTTTAAATTAACGCTTTAGACGTTACATTAAATAGAAATTATATAGCTGATGATTAAGATAAATAAGAAAATTGCTCTAAAGCTTTTATACAGGAAACAGTAATACTGCACGAACATGGCATGTAGTACAGTATCTAAAAAAATATACATATAATAATTATTTATTGCAAAAAAAGAAAAAAGAAAACAAAACAACTTCAATTATTCGTTAAGAAGCCTAAAGTTTAATAATTCTTTTAAAAATATTTTCAGTATTTAATAATAATAAAATTAATAAATGTATTTTATCAATTAATTTACTTAGTTATTGAAAAAGCATGTTCAATTATTTCTCATATCTAACGTAATCTCATGAATATAATGTTCGTTAACAGTTGGACAACTTATTATTTTAAAATTAATCATGTAATGAAATATTTTGTTATCATGAATATTTAATAGAAAGCATGCAAAGGGGTAATAACACATTATCCCGCGTATGTAAAGAAATTTATAAAAAAAAAATTTTTTAACCATACTTATTATTTTATAATGTAAACTAATAATTTTAATTAAGCAGAGTACTTATATATTTCAATATTAATAATTCGGATGTGAAAAAATGCATGGAACGTGATTAATTTTAATATTCATTTTTAGATTTTCTTTGCAACTCAGTATTAAATTATTGTATAAAAATTCACAAATTTTAAATTCAATTATTATATTGAAATGTACGAATTTAAAAAACAACGTCATTCTTATAGTTTTTATAATAAAATTTCTGACCAAAATGTTTTGCAAAAAGATACGAATCAAAATATTTTAATGAATCTACAGTGAATTCAGCTTTCCTTACCCGATTTACTCTATCCTTATTATAATTAAAAAATTAAAAAACCAAACCATACCTAAAAATCATAATATTTTTCAACGTTTCACCATCATCTCCAACGGTCTTGTAAGTCAATCACCTTTGTAAAAATTCTACATATTTTACTTCATCTTTTCCTTTATAATACGTTTTGTCGGCATGAAACGTTAGTTAATAATTTGGCCGAAGTAGTACATTAGACGGGACGACAGGTACGAGACTCCTATTGTTATTACTATTACACGAAATGCCTCTACGTGTCTCGAAGGGAATCCACAAGGTAAAGTACCTGCACTTTTCTGGTTATTACCTAACCGTTACAATTGCCTTCTTTACGATCAAGCCATCAGTATTTTCCCGTCTAATTTCGTAACGTTAACGTACGTTATTTCAGTATGGAAGGTTGACGTACGCTTTAGATGAAAAATGCCCGGATATCGCCGAGTTATAAGTTGCGCGAGTGAGACTCTCGATCCCGACGACTACAACCCCGTCGCGTGCTCGCAATAATCGACTCGTAGTTTGACTGGAGATTGAAGCGCCCGAACCCTAGACTCTCGTTCTTTTTCTTTACCGCGCGTCCATGATGCTCGTCGTGTCTTGGCTGCTTCGTAAAGAATTGCATTTAAATGAGAAACTGCTAGAGGTGAGGCGCCTATCCACGGCAAAATGCAATAGTGTCAAGTGTACTTGTCTTTCTTGTTCATGACGAGGATACCTTTTGCTTACTCGGGAGAAAAAAGCTTAGCGATTACGAGACACGATATTTAGGAAATGGAGCGAGCCGTTCGAGGAGTAAATTATATGAATTTTGTATGAATTTTCGTGTGCGAATGTTATAATACGGCGATATAAGTCTCCAGCGGCTCTGTTACGAAACGCTGTGCAGTGCAATTTTAAAATTGCGAATAATTATTATGTAAGCATTCGCTATAATCGGAAGCATAAATCAACTTTAACTTCCGTTCGTTTTATGGAAGATTGTTTTATCATTACAAGGACGCATTCGACCATCGAAAATGCTAATGCCAAAAACAAAATTACTATTGGAATACCATTTGAATTACCATTTCAATAAAATGTTGTTTAATCAAAATACCGAAATTAAGATTTTTATAAAAATGACGTCCATGAAATTCACATTTTCATAATTTCAATTCATAATTTCGTGACAAGAAAATTTTGCTTGTGAGAAGAGTTTTTTCACTTTAAACGAAATGTTTTATCTGTACAGCGATTAAACTGCTGCTTTCCCGTGATATATTTAAGCTCATGCATTTTCATGTACGTGTATTATATTTTACTCGTACATTCTACATTGCTTTCATTTACTTTTTCTTCTTTTATAGCTTTAATCGCGAATGAAAAAGAAAAATATTAAAAAAAGATATTTCACCGAACTTTCTTTATTTGATAGAAAAATAAAATAATAAATGCATGGCTGCTGGTCACTTATATCATATTGTAAATTTACGTACATAAATTACAATGTTTGAGATATTTCATTTTTCAGAAAAGTTTATTCTGTATGGGCTAAACAAAAAAATTAATCCAATTTTCGCTTCAATATCAAATTACAAAAGAAAAAAAAATAAAGTTTGAGATATCATTGGGCAATTTATTCTATCACCGATTGAAACATAAATCTCCCCCTCCCCCCAAAATCGTATGAAAATTTAAAAAAAAAAAAAAAACAACAGTATTTGTCTGTAAAACTTAATTTTGTATTAAGATAAAATAAATTTCTTTAATCGTTATAACAAATGTGACATGAAACTGATATTATCATTATTATATAAGTTTCTATCAAACTCTAATGTCCCGTGAGGGCAATTTTTAACTAACAAAATATCTATTTTACAAATATGTTAGCTAAACATTGTTTTAATTTAGTATTTAAAGATAAATCAATAAACGGTGATATGCGTGCGCAGGCATAATCGTTATTTCATAACATAGATCACTAATATTTATATACGAATTTTTACATTTACTTTATAGATTGATATAAACTAACCCCATAAAAGGTTTACTTTATTTAATTTTACTTTAGCTGTGATAAAATCTTATGACAATATAAATATTAGAACCCTCTTCGGTTTATGTCACCAACTGAACTTTGTTAAAATTCATGCAACACCTTTAATTATGCTTTAATTAATCCCTACAAGAATTAACTGATACTATATTTTTATGGAAATTAAATGCCTGAGTATATGTGCGGGCAAAGTAATAAAAGCCACGGCGTAAAAATATATAAATTATGAGCTCGCAAGTCAACCTAATAAAGTTTGATTGCGGTTGGAAGATCAGGCAGCTGAAAGGGGTGGGATGGTGGTGGCGGTGGGGTGGGGCGGATGTGGGGTCGGGTGCCCGGTGCTCGTGGTTCTCCAAAAGAAAAGGAAAAAAAGAAAGCAATAAAACAAATTAGATGGTAAACTTACGCAATCTGCATTAATTTTTGTTGCAGCGGGTGCAAATGGCACACGCGTTGAGGCGCATCTCGTACGCGACTTGTGAGCCCCGCAACGGCCAATTCAGCTTCCTGGCCCGCGAGCCCAGGGCGCACTTCAGCATCCAGTACTGTCATTCCTTCATCACCGAATCTCCCGAGCAGGTGAGTCAACTCGCTCCTTTCTTTCCTCTTGTCTCGCTCGTACTATTCGTGCTCTGCATTTACGATGTATCCCCAAGAGAGGCTGACGACTCCGCTGATCACGCTAGCGATCCGCTACGTTCGTCTCTTATTTATTGGCCGAGACGAAAGGATTGCACGCAAAATCTCATGATTGAGCTGCAGTCGTTAAAACGTGATGCTGGACATTTTTCGTAAAACGAAATCCTACCCCGACGCACGTTTTGAGCAAATACTCGAGCTTTTGCTTATGCGAGTAATTCGAATAATAACTTAGAATTCCATTGAGCTAATATTCAGAGTAATTTTATATAATATCATATAGCTTTGAAATAAATTAAAGTTGTTTGTTTCATTCGCTGTCTAACATCTATTTTTCAATCTACATTTTTTCTAAATAAAAGCTAAACAATGTTTTATTAATATCTCTTCGTGCGCGATATATGCATCGAGTCGCGAATGTGAGTCGTAATGGATATTAAACGTAAAATTGAAAAACCAAGGTTCATTTATAATAATATTCAAAATGAACTATGAATTATTAGTTAAACGAGTGATTAGAGAAAAATCGAAGAAAAAACGCATAAAACAACTTTTTATGCATTTAAAACAACGATTAATGTAATGGTTAGCGTGAAAAAATTTCAATGTATAAAATAAATTACTCCATAAAATTCAAATTATTATTTCTATCGATGCATTATGGAAACGATTATAATAAAATCTATTATCGTTGAAAAATATCTCTACGACGCGTAAAATTATAATAAAATTATAATTTCGATCAAAATTGCCGGAAAGTCGAATTGAGTGGTCCACGTTCATAATTCAATTAATGTAAAACATTATAATTATAAATTTATGCACCCACACACACGCGCGCGTTTCGTTTATTTCGACCTACGTACGTTATAAAGAGAATTTAATATTAATTTAATACGAATTTCAAATTTCAGATATACGTATATAGAATTATTTACTATTTTCTTTCGTAGAAATTTTTAATTTTCCGTCTCGGATCACGTCTACTTCGATTCACAATTAAAATAAATTTTTCAATTGTAATTAAAAAATGATATAAAATGTTGACTTACCTAAAGTATTTGAAATTTAAAATTTAATAGGAGTTTTGAGGTGATAAACAGGTATTCTAACACTTAAAATAAATTATTTAATTGGCCTACGAAATTCTCCATTCGCTTTCTTTTAAATGCAATTTTGTGTACGAATGAGCTCAAGTTCGGCATACCTTTCTTCTTTTTTTTTCATTTTTTTCTTACAAAATTATAATATAAAGAATCTCACGTGCATGAGACCAAATAATCAGGCGTCTCAAATATCTTTGGAGTACAAGGAGAACGCATCGAGTCTATGAAAATGCAGGGCAAACGATTTGTGCGTGAAAAATTTGCTCGTCTCTCATTGCGGGCTCTTGGGAAAAAACAAAAAACAAAAAACAAAGAAAAAACAAGTTGGAAAAAGCCTCCGTCCAGCTTTTCATTGCTCGCAGCGTCGCAACGACGAGGCGAAAGAAATAAAATGTGATTTCATCAGAGTCAACTACTTTTTCGTCCGCATCTTAATTAACTTTTCAGGGGCCGTAGCCGGTGCTCATAACTCGGCATAATTTCCGCGTTGGCAACGAAGATAAATTCCTCGTCAACGCTGCAGTGAAGGTTCGGGGTGGGGCGCGCGGGATCTAAGAACGTGTGTCCAGTCCCAATTGTTCCTCTTACCGCGGCTTCCGAATTTTTTCATTAGGGTCAGCTAGATAAGGCGCAAGCTAATTCGTAATGTAATGCCCAAACGCCGTCATCCTCGAGGGAGGAACCGCAAACTATCGTGATAATTCAGACGCAACACGCGGTTTCCTCTGTTGTTGCCCACTCTTAGAACGCGAGGATATTCCGCTTTGTATCTGAATCGAGAATCTTGCGGGAGCTCGAAATTTCACCGGGGAATTGCCTCTCTCCTGTCTTCCTTTTTTTCTTTATAGTTTGCGGAACCTCCGCGAGACCTGGAATTTTATCTACGCGCTTGTTTGTTTTATCAACAACCCGCTACTGCAAATGAAAAACTGTATATAAGGCGGATATAAGACCGAGGCATTATGTTCTGCGAAGTTAAGTTTGTAATTTGAATTTATCTGGTGAAATTTGATATTCCAGGATCAAGACCCCCGACCGTTAGATATTTGCAATTCCTTTCATATCGCACTCATTTCTCAGCTTCGATCGTGCGATTGATAAGTGCATCTGAGCAACCGGCTTTATTTACCCAAAAGTTTCTTAATTTTTTCTGTGATCTTGTGTGTGTGCGCGTATGTTGGTGTGCGTGTGCGCGTGTGTATTTACCAAGACATTAGCCGTGTATTAATGCGGAAAATAATGACAAGCGGAGCGAGAGCTTCATGAGTAATATGATATATCTAATTCCCTTGGTATTTCGTATTTGAAAAAACGTGCAAGATAACATTGGCTGTAAAATTTAAGCAAAACGTATTTAATTAAAGGTACCCGGTCTAATCCTCAGCGATTAATTGAATTTATCAATGTTTTTATTTATTTATTTTTCTTTTTTTTTACAAGCATTCTCAAGCGCACCGAAGTCTAAGATAGCGACTTTTAAGTATGCCAGTCTTTTACTTTTCCCTTTGCTAATTCGAATTGCAATTTAAAAACATGAAACTACTGTTTCTACGACCGTAAAAAGTTCCCCGCAAATATCTCAATCGGCTCTAACGGTTCGCCACCACATTCAATAGCCATGAATAATAGCCAAAGACGGAATAAAAAAGGAGACAATCGAACAGCCGCAAAGTATTCGATCGCGCGCACGAACGATAATTCCGATTCGCCATTGCCAATCCCGTTGCTAGCGGCGCTCGAAATTCGTTACTTTGGCGAGTGCAGTCGCATGTAGATATAAAGTGCATCGCAACAGCGGAGAGACGGCACCACGTCGTGACGCTAGTATCTACTTTGCGCGGTTGAGGGGGGGGGGCACATTTGTCGTCGCCCCACGCCGACAACGCCACGAGTTCCGACACCCCTGAAGGATAAAGCAGAAGAGGGGTTGAATGTGTAAGTACCTGGTACATTACCGCAAACATGTACACTACTCCTCACCGCACTTTCGCGCGTTTCCGTCATCTCTCCCACTCTCCTTCTCCACCTTCCTCCCTACCACTACCTCCCTCCCTAACCCCCCACGTTCCCTCGCCCACTCCAGCACCGAACACGACCTTATTTCCCTTGTTTCTCTTCCCTTAATATTACGTTTCTTCCCACAGTGGCACAACACGTGCCATCTTCAGTTTCCGTTTCTCCTATACGAGACGTGTCTATTGTAACGTATGCATGCATAGTCTTCACTCTCTCTCTCTCTCCCTCTCCCTCTCCCTCTCCTTCTCTCTCTCTCTCTCTCTCTCTCTCTCTCTCTCAATGACGCGTAACCTCATTTGACATTGTCTGTTGTCATCCATTTCTACTCCTGTAACGTCAATTACTCGTTTTGACGTATTTAATTAGGCTTAGAAGGAGCTTCGCTTAATTCAAGTTTGAAAGAAAGAAAACAAGTCATAAACATGCATGTTACTTTTGCCGAGTTTCCACTAACTGTGATTCAAACACTCGACATCTAACTAACATTACAACATTTAATTAACATAAGCAGTTTGACAACTACGTTTGCCTAATACACACACGCGTACATATTTTGTTTGAATATTAGAATTGTTTAAATTTATTTGTTATTTGTTATATTTTATATTTAATTATTTTATTTTACTGTTATTTGTTTCAAAATTAAAGTTTATATTATAGCTATTATATTTCGTAATTAGTTAAAAATTAATTTTAAATTTTTATTCAATACCGTTTCAGATTCAATATTAAAAATTATTATTTTTTGACAATTTCTTCAGCCATTATAATACGAAACTACATAATCTTACAAACCAAAATATTCGTATCAAATACATAGATTGTCATCAAAAATTCAAATACTATTTAATCTATAAATATTCATAATTTTATGATATATGCTATTGAATCGTTTGCAATCAATTTATTTGAAAGAACTAATAACTCAATATTAGTTTAAAGTAAAGATATAGAGAATAAAAGGACAAAATTTCCTTTCTTATTTTACATATTAATTTTTCTCCTTTAAAGCGTTCAGCATCCACCAACATATAAAAAAAGGGAGTGAATATTTAGTGATAAAGCTTGTAGTATTCCTGCCTCTAGTATGCCGCCCCTCCCTCGATCCTGGCCATCAAGAAAAAACAGGAGAAAATATCGGTGCCTATGAATCCTAAGTGATTGAGAGGTAAAAGGAACGAAACTGAATATTCGCATATTTCATGGAGCGCGCGCGCGTATTATCACTGGGAGCGATCGTACTTTTACACGTTAAAGCTATAATCCTCGACGAGACGCGTGGAAAAATGTCCCAGCGAGTATCGACATCCATCTGCATTTGCTTGCCATGTCGTGCAATAAAGCCGTTGGGAGCTCGGGCTTGGCCGATGCATCATAGCCCCTCGTCGACAACGTCGCGCATAATCGGCGATTACGCAAAAGATGCGAAAGTCGTTTCCGCGATGGGCGAACGCTCCGAGAGTCGAGAAATCGTAAGTGCACTGGGCAGTGAAGCCACGTCGTTCGTTCTCGCGATGTCTTTGATGTGTCGGGAGGGTAAGAAGGAGCGTTAAGGAGGCTTCGTCATTATTCGAAATCCGAAGCAAGCGTATTCAATGGATAAGTATGAAATGAAAGTGCGAAAGTGGAAGATGATATTTCCTTTATACAGACTTGAGTATTACGTTTCTTCCTACGCTCAATATCTTCATTGCTTTGAGAATGCTTTTTTCAATTTCAATAGTGTCTCAAGGAAGCTTGTAAAAGATATATCTTTACCTTTATCTTGATCTTCAAATTTGCTATTAATTTCTTTTATATTGAGAGGAGTGTCGTTTA